TCCAGGGCGTATGTGCTACATCTTTATGTGACCAGCATATCAGCAAGTTCTATTTGCCTAGATCCAGCCCTAAATCTTGGACTAGGTGAAGTAATATGCTTATACCTGGCTCTACACCCTTTCAGCCATGATATCTTTTACTTAACTTTATTTCTAGTACTTTTACAGAATCATTAAATGTGTCCAATAAGTTTTAGATACTGAAAGATTTACACATTTATTGTTTTTAATTAAATATTCCTATTACATGGCACTTCACAAAATATTTGACTTTATTCATATGGCTGCTCAGTAGTTAAATATAAAAATTTCATTTAGCATAATATGAAATGTTTTAATATTTAAACATTTGTGGTCATCCACTCTAAAGTAGTGAGACAGTCTTCTCAAAGCCAACTCAGATACTGACACAGACAATGCCACACACATCCCAAAAAAGATGTATCACTGACATAAAGACATTTCCTGGGGAGAGCAGTGGGAATCCAAAGCAGGTCCAAAAGTGGCTTGAGAAAACAGGGAACGGAGATTGGGTTGGCAGTTACAGGGTAATAAAGAGAGTAGAGTGAGTTTAGAACTGGTTCCCATATGCTATTTGGCATTCATACGTTTTGAAGAATCAAACGTAGGAGCACATAATTTCCTATCTTCTTGCCCAGAAGTGAGGGTGAAGGGCAAAGGAGAACAGTATAATTTGAAAGCTTTCAGCAATCAAATACAAAAAATGGAGGCAGAATCATTATTACAATTCACCCCTGATGTTTGGTTGATTACTAAAATGTGCTGTTTCATTTAATTGAACTTGTTTCAGAAAGTCCTTATGGACCTCTAGGAGGTCTGCAGTCTGAGATTGCAAAGGGAGGTGAAAGTTCCATTAAAACCCTTTTCAAGAGCCCAAAACTGTGTATTCTGAGAAATAAAAATGAGTGCCTTGGTAACTATCGGTATTGTCTGGACACTGAAAGTATTAGGAATGTCTTAGTGAGGCCTTTTATTGGGGATTTAGTGTGATTTATATTTGGGGTATCTGTGAGGAAAGACATTCATAAGAGTTCTTTTGCCCCAAAAGGCAATCGAGTAGGGAACTATTTTTGCTGCAACTGGTAGGGACAGATGAGCAGATCATTGGCAATGGATCAAGATTCAACAGAACAGTGCAGATGGGGCAGACAGGGCATTCAGTACTAGAAAGACCATAGGAAGTGAGCTGTATTGACTTGGGTCCCATCCCATTCTCAGGGATATCCCAGTGAAGGGTGAAAACTAAGCAGCTGTACAAGAAAATCCATCACATGCAATGATAGCAGATGTCATCTGTAAAATGTATAAATACTGTCTACCGTTAACTCAGTTGGTTCCAAGGAGCTCCCCAGATAACCAAGAGGTCTGGCAAAGAGGGCAACTCTCACGAGTACCATAACATCTGGCAAGAGACGGGGGGAACTGTTTACTGCAGAGGGCATGTCAAGTTTGACTGTGGAGTGCAGTAAAGAGGCCTCAGTAGCTATGCTAAGCTTTCAGAGTGCTGTTTAGGTGACCTAAGGCATAATAGGCAGCTGTATATGTAGGGTCACAAACTCAGAGATTGTGATGACCATACTGTTACTAGAAGAGTCTGGTATGTATTCAGCAATTGCATCCTAATTGCATATAGCATGGGGTCGAGGCGGCAGGTGTTTGCTCAGATGTCCATGAACAACTTAACACCATCAAGTACAATCCAGAGGCTTCAGAAGATGAGTGGACATTGCTAAAGCCTTTCAATGCAATACTGCATTGCAACTCTGGAGCTGTTCATTGCACAAATCAAGATGTGTACATTTGTAACAGCCTAAGTAGGCTAAAGTAAAATTTGTAAATGAGGAATATGCTATCTCTAAAATCCTAAAAGCCGGGGCTGGGGATTTAGCTCAGCGGCAGAGCGCCTGCCTGGCAAGCGCAAGGTCGTGAGTTCGGTTCCTGGTACCGGAGAAAAACCAAAACCAAAATAAATAAATAAATAAATAAATAAATAAATAAATAAAAGCCATAACATATATTGGGGTTACTTTAACATTATGGATGCTGTTTCTTGGCAGTGTCAGTGGTGGAATGGAGAACTTGTACTGTGTATGGGGTAACGGGGCATCCCATTTTATGAACTCTTTTGTGAACGTATGTCCTCAACGAATGCATCAAATGAATCTCCTCGGAGGAGGATATAATCAGTATGATATCACCACTGCACTCTTGAAGAAAACTGGTTTTGGTTAAGACCCTGTCTACAGATTGTGAAGGCAAGAGTATTAAGGTATCTCATAGGTAGTCAAAAAATAAAGCGATATGATGTCTCTTTGAAGACAAATCAGCTGAGGCAGTTAAAATAGGTACTAAACATGCTATCCAAATCTGACTGCGAAGTATTTCCCAATGTTGGTTGAATCACTTAGTCATTTCGGTATTTGGTATGGTAGCCTTCAATAATAGTTAGTATTAGAAGGAACCTCAGCATTAAGATTGCAGCCATCCACTATGAGGTACCACGCATTATTTGTAGGTTTAAGAGCAGCAGCAGGCTAAAATGAGCCACTAAATATTGAAGCAGTGGGGATAATAACTCTTTCATAAGCAGGTGTCATATGTGGGTTTCAAACTTTGAAGACCCTGATTTAAACTGAGCCATATTAACTATTTTAACTAGTGGGGGGAGAGAAAGGTCCATGGGAGTCCCACTTTGACAGAACAATTATTAAATACCAAAGACTAACTTTTATTACTCATTGGCTAGAAGCATCCACGCCCACTATGGGATACACTTTAGGATATGAGTGTATGGCTGGAGGGAATTTAGACAAGGCAAGTTTTTATGGTTTAGATGAGGTACACATATTTTTCTTCCTTACATGTTTTGAAATATTTTCAGAAACTGTCCTAAGCTTATAGGGCTATCTTGCTTATAACTAGGGGAATTCTCAGGTATAATTAAATTGAGCCTTAGTCTTAAGGCTATGAAGGTTTGATAATTGAATTTTGGTAGATGTTAACTGAGAATTCAGGTTGTGGAGGTGCAAGTTAATTAGCAACCTTTTGTCTTGCTGTGTTTTGCTATATACACTCTAAGTTCTAGATTTCTAATTAGGTCAAATTGTGAACTTTTATTTTGGCTGGTTTTGTTTCCTTCCAACGTGTTGAGGGGGAAGTAATTACTGTATATAGTTCGGTGTGTGTGTTGCAGAGGGCAATCCTATTTATCTTGTCCATACTCGTGTTTCTTCCTCCAGTCACAGATATGTATCATCATGATTAGGGCTTCCCAGATGATAACTGCTTTATAGGGTATAAGGAGTCTTGACATAACTCAGGTTTGACTTAACCCCTGGCAATGCTGTGTGTCATGCATTTCCCTATTACCCTAAAAATGAGAATTTTTTTGTCTACTGTGGCACAGGTAGTACAGCAGTAATGGCATTTTGTTAAGTCCTAGTGAGCTGCCTACTTTTAGATGTGCAAGCCACAGCAAAACAGCCTTCCTCCATATGAGTGACCACCAGCAGGCCTGTATACTGCACAGGGTGTCCGTACTTCCCAGGAAAGTTCTATAGAATGGAGGCAATACCTGGTTAGGACATCCAGGGCAAGGGTGATTTCTGTAAATCTACTGTCAGCTATCACTTATACTGGAATGTAAACACACAATTAAATCTGAGACCCACTGATAGGTCCGGACCAAGATTAATGACTACAGAGTACCTTTCTCTTTTCCTTAAATGCCAATTATCAAAATTTAAAATTTAGCTGAATATATCTATAATAGTTGATGAGGAAGCAAAGATGGCAAAGCTCAAAGTACAAGCTTACTGGCAGTGGCGAAAACACGCTAGCCAGCAAGATAGCTGGCGAAAAGCAAGCCCTCCACTGGGGGTTGTGACCTGCTAGGCCCCAGGGTTGTGTCAAATGTGTAGTCATTCCACAGAAAAAAAAAGTTGGACTCTCCACCCCAAACTTGCATTAGATACTGAGTCTGATGGCACCACTCATAGCAAATAAAGTACGAAAAGATTGTTTATTCCCATGAGGCCTCTAGGAAAAGCAGTGTGTACTCCCAAGCAGGTCCAAAAACGGCTTGAGCAGGTAAAGGAGACCAGTTTGGCCTTTTATAGTCACTTGGAGGTGGGGCTAAAATGAGAGTTCCCAGACATAGGGCGTGGAAAAGTTTGAATTTCTGGCTGGCACTGGAAGCAGCAGCCCTTGAGCTTTTTTATAAGCATGTTCAGATATGGGGGGGAGGGGAACAATGAGTTCTGAAAACTACTGGCAAATGTTAAAAAATGAATCGGATTCTATTGCAAAGAGATTAGAAAACTGATTTGGATTAAGCTTTTGAGGGGAAGTAATTTGATATTATTTCAGGAAAGGTATTAGGGTTACTGATGAGATGACGCTCATTAGTGATACGTAGTAAGGAGACACAGTGAAAAACTGAGAGGATGCATTTGTAGACTTTCCCCTTTACTTTTAGGAATCCAGTGAGATTCTAAAGAATGAAGCCTCACTGAGCCATGGTTACTTATAGAAATGACATGGCCTAGGCCAAGAAAAAGAGAACAGCTGGAATTATTACTTATTGAAAAGGTCATGGACAAATGGACCTCTAGACCTTGAACTTCTATTAATTTTGTATGTCTTTTCATGATTTTTCCCTTACTTTCAAGGTTCTTCAGCAACCAGGTCCTCTTAGCTAGAAAGTCTTTGCTCAAACATGCGACACAGTATTTCTTTATCATCTTATTCTTCAGTGCATTTGTATTATTTATGAATCTTTTTTTTTTTTTTTTTTGGTTTTTCTCCGGTACCGGGAACCGAACTCACGACCTTGCGCTTGCCAGGCAGGCGCTTTGCCGCTGAGCTAAATCCCCAGCCCCTATTTATGAATCTTATTTCTGCAGCCAGACCCCAAGCTGACTGCAAGATTTGTAACATCATGTTTGCATTCATCACTCATTAAGCATTGCTAATGAACAGTAGATATCGTATGTTTAATAAGTAAATGAATAAATAGTATTTCAGTTCTTATTCTGTGAAACTATGTAATGTTATAGTTATCAGAAGAAAATCCTAACTTTACATATAGAGGAAAAAAACATGCATTTGACTTACATAAAATCTTCATGTTTTCAATCAAGATGTCAATGGACCACTAAGTAACTTTCCTTAAGGATAGAGGTATAGATTCCTTACCAGTTTTGTATCTTCCCTGTATCACAAAAACATGAGTAGCTTTCAGACATATTTAATTTACTGTAATTTAAAAATGCCTCATTGTACCCTGCTATGTGTTTTATGTTTCACAATAATGTTTCACAATAATGCAGTAAGGTGTGGAAGAGAATCACTGTATTACAAATGAGGAAACTGGGGCTAAGAGCTAAGCGGTGAAATGGTCACAGAGATAATAGGTAGGGAAACCGGACCGAACTCAGGACACCCTTCCCGTGCAACAATGAGATCTGTGGCTTATGTATATAATTTGAGTTATGAAGTGTTGATGTGGAGGAAAACTCTTTTTAAAATAGCCATCTACAAGAAAGTTAAATACGAACATTTCTAAGTTTTTAAAACTTTTTTCTTCCTACAGACTTGCATATACAGTATCTGCATATATACCTTTAAAAAATCCCGATTCCATTTACCTCTCAGAAACGATCAAGATGCTTTCTTAATTGCTTCAGTCAAATAATTAGACTTGAGGTTTGTGTGTAGCTTTCTTAGTAGCTTTTCTATGCACTACTGAGAATGAGTTGTCTCAGCAGCCCCAGCAATCTCTCTTCTTCCAATAGGCTTTTTAAGCCAACCAGTGCTAAGTATGTTATTAAAAGAGTCACCAACACAGGTGTGAAATCTTTTCCAAGGCTTTACCTGAAGGATGGGTATCAGCTCACCATGAAGGGAAAGGAAGTTTTTGTCCTGTATAATGAAGTCACATTTTCAAAATTAAGTTCTTTGCATATATTATTCCATTATGGTTTAATTCCCCCAATGGTAGGCCTTTAAAATGTAAACGTAAAAGGAATGTCATTTCCTTTTACCAGATAAAGAAACTATAGATTAGCACAGCAACAACTGCTAGTAAGTGAGACAAAGTAACAACAGTTGGGGTAGTGAAGCAACTGCACTACGGTGAGGCTGATTCCAAAGTGCAAGCTTTTTCTACTATTCTAGTAAATAGTATTATGCAAAAAGATTGGGGTGAAATCACGTTTTGCATGAGTTAATAAATTAAAGTTATAGAGCTAGAAGGGATTTTAGCAATTCAATTCAATATTCTTATTTTATAGATAAGAAAACTGTTACTCAGAGATGTGGTGTTTGCCTGAGGTCCTATAGCTAGCTAGGTAAGTGGCAGAGCTGTAATTCAACAAAAAGGTCTGACTCCAAGTCCAGTGATCTTCCTGCTAGAATGTACTCCGGTCCCAGAGCTGCCTAACTTCATACTTAAGACAAGGTCCTATGAATATTAATGATATTGACAAGATAAAGTCACAGGTCTGAAGTCTTAAGTGTGCATTTTGCTAAAAGGCTACCTCACTACTGCCCTGGTTGGAATATTCATCCAAGCATCTGCTGCCTCGTATCTGTAATTTGTTTTGAGATCCCTTGAGAGGCTACACATTCTGAGTGTAAATCAGCATCCCAGTCAGACATAGGGTAGAGACTTGCATCTCCTATCAGCTGTTTTCCATTTTCTTCTTACAGAGTTTGGTAGCACTTCACTTTTAAGGTGTGAATAATAACCACTAGATTAAAAAGTAAGCATTACTCATCTTTCAGAAATACTGTATAGTTCAAGCTGAGTTTCTTCTGACTGGAACAATGGAGTGCCTCTTTGCAGACTATCTCAGACTGCAGCATACACTAGGATTGACTTCATAGTAATTTAGACATAGACGATGCCGGGCCTTTAAGGAAGTGCAAAATGACAAAATATGGGTTTCAAGTACATTAGATAAGACTGTGGAATAATTTACAAAAAATACATTTATATATATATGTATACACACACACACACACACACACACACTTTCTAAACACTTGGCAAAGTACCTGGCCTACAGTAGGTGCTCAGTTAAAAATTGAATCAATCATTGCTCCAATATTTTAAATTTTATGTAACTACTGAAAATGACACGGGCTTATCCAACCTAAGTCAACTGTTTGCTATTAGTGTTTTCATACCTCTTTAAAGGGGCCTGAGAATCCCTTCCAAGCCAATGTAAGAAGGCAGTGCTAGGAAGCCTCTGATTACTGGAGTCACCACTAAATTGGCTAAATAACTTAAGTGAATGAAGTAAATGTGAACATATTTTATACTAGGCACATTTTATATGTGCTGGTAGCGAAAGATTAGCTAAGCTCCAATAAGGCTCAGATACTGTACATGGAAAAATATTAACACAGTGATTAGTACTAGAAATATGAATAGCTAGTAGAACAGAACAGGTGACGATTTGTTTGGAGATGTATGGTTAAAGAAAATGCCTGAGAAATGTTTTAGTTGCCAATAGAAAACTGTACAGCAATAAGGTAGGCAAGAAGGAAAGAACTGTTTGGTGGTGTGGCACCACCTTGCATCACCAAATACTCTTTTGAGTAACTCAATAAGGAAGTTAATGCAGTTGCCATTTCTTGAACACATCTGTTACCTCACACCCTTCCAGGAGGCAGGAGTCCTTTTTATCATTTTTCAGAGTTAAGTGATTTATCCACAGCCACAGGACTAGGGAGATGCAACTGAAAAACTAGGATTGCTGCAGTTTGATGGCTTAAAGAAAGTATACTGCAGATTGACAAGTGTTCTATAATGGTAGCACAGATGCAGTGCAGGGAAGGAGGGAGGAAGTAGCCTGTTCTCCAGCCTTACAAATCTGCCTGAACCACAACCACTGTTCTTTAATCTCTTCTGCATCACAGACTTGCCTATAGGACTTTATTTGGATAAAGTTCTACTCCTTTAAAACACAAATCAAAATAAAACAAAACAGAACAGAACAAACCAACTACTGTGAGGAAATTAGTTTCCTGGGACCATACTCTCCAATTTAGTCAACATGGCAGATAACTGAAAATTGGACTAAGCAAAGCCCCAAGTACTCTCATCAATGAGTAAAATATAAAGTAAAATAAATTTAAAAAAATTAGACCACACTGTAAGCTGGCAGATACCTGTTTTACTTGAGTATGACTGCAGATCACAAACAGGCATAGATCTGCTGAATGCCAATCAGTAACAGCACTTCCTTCCCAAAGCACAGGCTACTGGAGAATTCCTGGCCTTGTTTACCTCACGCCAGCTCACAATATCATATTCACTTCTCTGGTGCAAACCATATGGCAAAGGCCTGGCTGCTATTACTGCCTCAGCAAGTTCCCCACTGACAGCAAAGACAGATCTCCTGCTGCTGGGTTGCACCAGATAAAATAGCTCTAATAACTAGTGATGTATTTTTAATTGGATCAATTTCCTCTCAATTATACAATCTTCGAAAATCAGATGCAAGTTCATCATCAGAACAGAGAGTTTTTTTTTTTTTTTAGGTGAAAAGCAAAAGACAAACTAGTTTAGCATCACTTTAATTCTTTACTTGTCCTGTGGCAACAAATCACAACCCGAGGAGGGTGGGGAGGCAACACTGCTAATTCTAAAAATAATTATCAGTAGATCTTGGCTTAAAAATCTTGTTTCTATGAAAGTGAGGGACTGGAACGTTTTTGCTTGCTATCATCTCTGCACATAAGAAGCAAGATACGCTGCTTAATAAACACCAAAGTTCTCTCACCAGATTCTCTCACTTCTAGTCCTAAATGTGTAAGACTATTTTTCTTTTTTGAACTATAATTATAAGAATTAAACATATACCTATGGTAGAGGCTTAATTTTGAACAGGGTGATTCAAACGCTGAGGGCTGATTCTGTTCATAGTGGAAATAAGATTTGGATTATCTTTACACAATGGTGCTTTTGGCTGAATTTTAATTTGGATAGACCACTATTCCCTCAAAGAACACTGTCAGACAAGGAAACGAGATAGCATGTGCAAGTTATCCCTCTCCTTTGCCTCCCAAATCCTGTATTTAATTAAAAGACATGAACACCACTAACAAAGAAACAATTATCAATTATTTAATGCTTGGAAGAACTGAAGTAAACTCTGAAGCCAAATATTATGCACTCACTTGAGGAAAATACAGGGTACCCAACAGTTGTTTGTTTTTGTAATGAAAATGGACGTGTCCACCTCCCCACTTTGTTGGTCATGGCCTGTGTCCTACAATTCCTCAAACAACTTCTATCACAGGGTCAATCCACTCTCTAACTAGCTAGAGTCAATCCATTCTCTAGCACATCTGCACTAAGACTGATCCAAGATGGCACAAATTCCCCAGCCAAAGGTATTCCTCCCCAAAGGGATTGCATACCTTGGTGGCACTTAATAAATGTACTTTTACAATGGTAAAGATGATCAACCTAAGATATCATGCTGCAGGGGTACAAGTCTGAGATGTCACTGAAAGGCTGAGCAGATCAAACTGGAGCATGCACATGGAATGCAACCGGAGTCAAGGAGGAAGTTCCACAGATCAAGCACATTATAACACTAAAGAAATAATATACCAGTGACATTGACATCAAAACCAAAAGGAAAAAAATCAATAAGGATTCATTACAGGGGCAAATTTCAAACACAGAGGCTAACATGGCTCTACTGAAGCCTTGGAAATGACTAATTTCTAATCAAACTTCAGCTAACACCATCATGTGTCCTATTTGGGGTAATGCATCCGTTAAAGCTCTAAATTTATTGGGGATGGTACGGGGAGAAGGGGATAACAAACACTAAAAACTAGAGCTTCTAAAATTCTAGGACAACCCAGCTGGAATCAAAAGACATATGCCAAGTCTATTCTATGATACCATCAATAACCAAAAGCTAAGGGAAGGAAAATTGACTAGGAAACACATGAAATGCGATTGCTCGTCATCTAAGGGGTGGAATATCTTCTCAGATGGTAGCTGTAGATCTTGATGCAGTGATCCCAACAGTCCAAGACCAGCAGCTGCCCTTTAGGAGTGAGGGCAATGCCCACTGGACAGGTGAGCCCCTCTCGAATAAGGACGCTGTAGCCCCCACCTTTAGGAAAATGGAGGATTTCCTTGCGACTACTATCAGCCACGATGAGGTCACCACGAGCATCCACACACATGCCAGCAATGCAGCGGAAATCCTCATTCTCTGAGAAGAAGTGGCTAATCTGGCGACCAAGCTGCCCATCAGGGCCCACGGAACCAATGGAAAAACCACCCTCCAGGTGGTGCTCATTCTGCCGATTTTCCAGGTTGAGGCCCAAGCCCTGGGTGAAGTAGACGGTGCCTTCAGCATCACAGGTGACAAACTTGGGCCGCACAGCGCTGCAGAGACAGCTGTATTTGACCACCCCTGCTCCTCGGTCAACCGTGAAACACCAAAGTTTTCCACCTTCCACGTCAGTCACCACGAACTGGCCAGATGGCAGGGCCGTGATGCCCCATGGTTTGCTCAGCTGGCTCCTGTGACAGGCCACGCAGTGGCCATCTAAGGTATATACCTTGAGGGAGTTGTCATAGCTGTCAGTCACACCAATCAGCCCATGGCAGTTCATGGCCACTGAGAGAGGAGTGAGATTAGGCAAATCAGCCCCAAGGAAGCTTAGCACAAAGCTATCAATGCCACTGGGGCTGCGGCGGATCTCCTTCAAAAAGCCTTTGCGGGTAAAGACTTGTATGCGGTAGTTGCCACGGTCAGCAACCAGCACTTCGCCTTGACTGGTCACATAGAGACTGACTGGAAGATTAAACATGCCTGGCGTGTTGCCCTTTGCCCCCATTTTCTTGAGAAAGAGGCACTGCTGGATATTGGAGGCTGCCTCAGAGCCCCTCTGTTTGGCAGGTGAAGCCCTAGGGCTGGCAACTACTTCCTCAGGGCTCATGTCCATCTCTCTAAAAGTAACAGAGGTAGAAGCAGCAGAAGCTGCAGCCTCCATGGCCCAGGAATCTTCCATGTTAACTGTCCGAGGCTTCTTAACAGCCTGCCCAATTTGGAGAGGGCCAACATGACCCACCTTAAGTAGCTCCACATCTTGCAGGGTGAGTTCCCGGGGCAAGCTGGCAGTGAATTCTGGCTCCTCTTCATCAGCTGTCTCCTCCAGTAGTGCTACATCAGCTTGCTTGATCTTGGCCAGAAAGTAGTCACAGCGAGACACAGCCTGCACCTCAGCAATGTTAAGCAGGTAACTCTGCTCCTCTACCACTTGACTATTGCACTTCTCAACTTCAGCCAAAGAGCCTGTGAAGAACTTCCGAGAGCGAGCCAGCTCGTCCTGGACCCTGCGTTCCTCATGCCCATACTCCTGAAGAACTGCTTTGTATCTAGCTTGCAGGTCTTTAGAGACACCTTCCAAGGCCACCTTCCGCCGCTGCAGCTCCCCCATAAGCTCCCGAAGACGGGTCAACTTCTCTCCAAAGTCCCGACGCCGCTCCTCAGCTGCCTCTTTGACAGGGAGTGTATTGTGGCTAGGAGGCTGGTGTTCTGCCTCCCGACAGGGCTCACACAACACCAAACCACAACTCCTGCAGAACTGCCGGGGTAGCCGCCGCCCACATGACCGGCACATGAGCAGGCCCACAGCCTCACTGAGCCCAGCTGTGTCAATGATTTTTAGCACCGTCAGATTGTCTGTCAGCTGCGTGAGGCTTGTTATGCGTGTAATCTTGCTGCAAAAGGGGCATCGAACACCATTGATGCTACTGGCCAGGAGTTTTTCCAGGCACTGGCGGCAGATAGTATGGCCACAGTGTAGGAGTTTGGGTCGCAGCTGCTCTTCTGTGAAGGACTCCATACAAATAGGGCATTCTAGTACTTCCCGGAGGGCATCCAGGTTCAGCTGAGAAGCGGTTGCTGTGGCCATTGCTCTTCTGTTCAAGGGTCTTGCTCGCACGGCCCACAATGGAATAGCTTAGTGTTCATGCCCCACCGAATCAAATTCCTGCTAAAAAGAAAAAGAAACCATTATTCATTTTCCACTGCCCAAATAAATTAATTCTGTCACAAAACATTTAGAGAATAGCTATGATCATTCAGTCAGTCATTCACTTACTTAACACATATTGAGGTCTATTATACAGGTGACAGAGACACAAAGGGAAACAAGGCAGCCAAAGCACTGCATCCGAAAGTAACCTAAACTTCCTAAAGCTGTTTCCATCACTCGCCTGAGAAACTGATGTAATGGTGTCTCTTTTATTATAAGACTTTTTATTAGGTCACAGGGTTTACTGTGTTATGTTTGGTGCTTAGGAATTATCCAGAAAAACAGAAAGTTCTGATGATTAGCTTTAGATGATCTGCAAAACAACAGACCAGAAAATACGTATTTTCCATTCATTTAACTTCCTACCTATTCACCTATCCGTCTATCTTCATCTAGCTATCATGCACTATAATAGATGCCAAGAGGTTTTTAGGATATAGATTCTGCTCTTCAGATGCTCAAACTGTAAAAAGGAGACAAGATATGTAAATAATCAAGGTAGAGGGTAGTATTATAAATGCAATATAAACTAAGATTGAAAGAAGTTAAGATGGAGTCATTCTAAATGGAAAGAAAACAGAATCTTTGGAGGGAAGATGCCACGTGATATGAGCCTTGAAGAATGCACAGAAATGTAGAGATGGGGGAGGTGAATAATCAGCAAAGCACCCAGCCTTAAGACAGGTTGGAAAGCAGGGGAAAAGACAAGTTTTCTGTGCCGGAAAGAGAACAAAAAACAACCTCTGTTTATTTTTCCCATCTGTAAAATGGAAATAATAATGCATTTACAGGGTTACTGTAAGGATTAAAATTAAGTAATATATGTACTACTGTATGTGGAACACTAAGATTTGGCCCTGCACCAATAACGATTTAAATGAACTGTACGTCTTTGTCTTATCCTTAGGTTAAAATTATGGTAGACTGTAGGGAGAAACAGATTAAAAAGGCTTGGAAAGGCAAACTGGGGAATGACTATAAAAGATCTTCACAGCCAAAATATGAGTTTTTGAAATGTTTTGAAGGGTATGGGAAAGCCACATATTCTGGAGCAGGGAACTGATGGAATGGAGTGAAGAAAAAAAAAAATCGGAGCTACTAGTTTGAAAGCAGCTACAAAATGCCTGGGGCAGATAATAGGAGTCTGACCTATGGAGCAGATATAAATAGAAAGAAGATATATTTGACCACTATTCCAGAAGTATAATCACAGCAAGACTTGGAAACTGAGTAGATTACGATGAGGGAGTGAAGAGCTACAGTGGCCAAATATTCAAGCCTGGATGATTTAAAAAGTAGTAGTTCTTTATCAAGACGTTGTATTTCTGGCTTGCAATCCTCCTGTTTCATCCAGTGTATGTTATGAACATTCCCACCCTCCTCACATATGCGCATGCATCTGACTTAAGAGAGATCTCAGTGCCCTGCAGCCTTATATCATTGCCAACTTAGCACTCCAAATCAGAATGAATATATCTAGCAAGGTGAGGCACACGGTGAAATACAGCCCTCTTAAGTGCAAATCCTACAGCTGCACCTGTGCACTCTTATCTTGCACAGATGACCCACTATCAAGAAAGACGAGGTAGAGGACCAGTTAGCTTTTAAGAACAATGCAGCTAGGGCTGGGAATTTAGCTTAGTGGTGTAGCACCTGCCTGGCAAGCATGGGGTCCTGAATGCCAGTACCCCCGCACCCCACCCAACCCCACAAAAAAAGAATAATGCAACTAGCCAAGGAAACCTTTGCTCATATCATCAACGTTCTCTAGCAGTACAAAACGGCAATGTACATGTAGAGATGCATATTACAACTAATTTCTACCTTCTTTACCTTGGGATGCAATTTCACAAACAGTAGCAAACAACTACAACTTATCTAAAGTCAACCCTGCCTCCCTGAAATCTCTCTAGTGCAAGGGAATTCACCCTACTATGTGCTAGATAGCAAGTCAGGTGTTTCATATGCTTAATCTCATTTAGTTCTCATAACAACAGATTGAAATACATTACTATTTTCATTACTATTTACATACGAGAAAACTAAAGTTCAGAAAAACTGGCTCAGGGTCGTGTAGCTCAAACACAGTGGTACTATGCAGAACAGACATCTTTACTTTAACGCAGTATTAAATTCCAAGTTACTTTGTTTTTTTTACTGTCACGTAACACTTATTCTAAGTGTTCTCTAGAACAATAGACAAGGCCCTGGGAAATGCTGCCTTTATAACATGATTTTCATTCTTTTCATGAAAGAAAAAACAATATGAGTCAAGTCTATGTCTCAACAAAATAACAAATTATGAACCTAAAATGCTTCATGTGGGTATCTGTAAAGGCTAAATTTTTATATCCCATGTATCTGGGGGCTGTAGTATAGAAATTCTGATAGAAACTTCAACTCAGGATCCATGCAAACCTCTCAATTCTAACCAATAGCTTCACTGTCTCTTCTATCATCTGAGACAACAGACTGAGGGCAACATTTGGTGTTTGAATCCAGAGCTTGTTACCTTACAACGGGCAGGGACATCTGTTCTTCCAAGAGCTGGCACTGCAGATCAGCAAATTAAACAAGTCTGCCAACTTGTAAAAATACAGTACCAGTAAATTCTTTCCCTAGCTTTCAGGAATATCATACCACCCTCTTCAATTAAAAAACTTCTTGCCTCTCTACCTAAAACATCAGCTTTAAGAAATGAATTTACTATGCTCACATCGATCCCCAAAATTATCTCACCTGTCTAAAGTGCACCAGGTTCTAGGAGGATGGAAAAAATTTCTGCTCTAAAGCTGCCACACTTTGCTAGGGAAACATAAGCTCCTATTATTAAGGAAGTATCAGGCATGATGAGTCTTAGACCTGGAAAAAGTCCAAATCATGACCTAAGAACACAGCTTTCAGAAGGTTCTTAGCCTGAAATAGAAGAAACAGGCAGATGCAGCTTTTCTCTTCCAGAAGAGCACATGCAGTCGTAACTGCTAATACTAAGAATGACTCATATGGAAGCTCAGTTTAAGATCAGTTTCCCTGAAAAGATGACACAAGTGAAAAAAATTGTCTTATCATCCCAAGTCTTTAAGTACGCTGCGTATTTTCTGCCAACTGTAAGACCTGTGACCAATCAGAATGAAACTGCAACATGGTATTTATAATTTTGGCCATTTTAATCTCTTACACACATTTCTGTTGCATCTTTTGTACTGTCACGATTTAATCACTCATCTCATCTAACCTCCAGTGTAACCCCTTCCTTCATCCCTTTGATATGATTTATACTACACACACCATAATGACATTAACACCTCTTTTGGGCTGCAGATAATATACTTCTTAAACTGTGTCTACTTTAGCTGCCCTAAGACTCAGGAAATTTTTGTAATATTAGCCCAGCCTGTTCTTGTCTCTTCTGGCACCACCAGGTTTTTCCCAGTCCATGAAATAAGTAATTACGGTAGTAGAGAAGGCAATGACCAAATAAAAACAACATAAACTCTGCAGTCAGACAGAACTGAGACCAAGTCTTAGTGCTCTCATTTAAAGATGTTGGATAGGTGGCAAGTTATTAATATCTCTAGACCTGATTAATTTATAAGATATTACTGTGATGACTACGGCTAACACATATATATTACTGAGCTTGATAGTGATGAGTATGCAATGAAAGGATGCTTTTTACTATTATTTTAACAACAATCAGGAATAGCATTAACAATGACCATTAGTACTAGTATTAATAAAGATTTCAGTTTACAACTACAGTTTGAAAGAATGAAGAACTTTTCATGGAAGGTAAAGGCACATAGAGATTAATAAAAGGACTAGCCAGTTTGGCAGGGATTTGATTAAGAAAGCTGAACCCTGAATTCACAACTTCTCTTGACCCAAAGTAAACTGCTGCAGTTTCTTCCAGCAGAGACTAAACATAGCATGTTACCAGCATTTACTTGTCTAAAACTAGACATGTAGTGATCTCAAAGAGTAATACACATGAGAAAACTAAGACCAAAAGAGGGAAATTAAGCTCATAAAACATTCAGCAGAACTAGGACTAAAAGGCAGGAGCTAGGAGTGAGAGGTATTGCTCAGACTAAGGAAGTGGACTTAGGAGTCAGGCATTTTGGATTTGAATCCAAACTCTGATACTGTGGAGATTTGGGTAAGTTATTTAACTTACCTAGTTCCCATCCTATGAAAAGGGACTCTAAAACAGTATCTTCCTTGCATAGCGATTATAAAGCCTAAATAAGTTTACGCGTATCAAACACTCAGTACATCTCTAAGCCAGGCATACAATTAGCTATACAGAAATAAAACTTATTATTATTATTATTATTATTGGCAGTGGCAGCAGCTACCACCTGCCACCCACTACCACCCAGCCTATGAGAAGAAATGAAGAGGCACTTTCAATAGGTAGACTATATCTAAGGTATCACATACACTTAAATAATAAAAATTCAGTCTTCTTGGAGGTTGCTGCTTTCCCTAATCACAAAAACGAAAGTTAGAGATGACCCAAGGTTTCAAACATTCATTCAATGCTCAAGTCTCTGTCACATGGTCTTTTTCTAAATGTGTCTACTTCATTGTCTCTATTTTCTGCACTTTATTAGTAGCTCACTCACCTGCACTCATGGTGGCTTAGACCACGAACAAAACCAGAGAAACTAAAGCAATTAATTAAAAACAATCTTTACTAAGCACCTGCTGAGTCCAGTCCTGTGAAAGGGACTGATATTTCTGAGACAGAAATGGACAGGGAAAGATCTTTCACATTAGAACTAGACTTCACAAGCTTGGTTCTTCTAGTCATGTACTTTACTGGTTTGACTGGGTATTTTGCAAGGTTTATTATTTTTCCTTTCATATCAGCTTTCTATATTCCTCATGCATTTTTAACAGAATGCTGATTAGGTGCCTAACTCCTTCCATGCCACAAAGCTCACTCACTAGCAAGACTGATTTGCAGGAAGTCGGTGAGGTCACCACCCGACATTTACCCAGTCAGGGCATTTGAAGTACCTGCACACAGCTAAGGAAGACACTGGCATGGCCCCGGAGTTATACCAGTATGGGACACTTGAAACAAACCAGGAGGAAATACGTTTGTGAAAAAGGAAACTTTTGGGTAAACTGAATCAAGGTCATGTTAAAGCAACAATAGGGCTTACTGGAAAAAATGTCCAACTCTTATTTCTGTCTTTCTCAAAAGCATGATGAAAGAGCTAAAAAAAATTGCCTTTGGCTAGGGGTGTAGATTAGATTCAATCCCTAATACTTAAAAAAAAAGAATTCCTGTGATCACCACAGACATTTGGTAATACCTATAATGTCAAAGTGATTCACAGAATCTAAAACAAGGTAAAAAAAAAAAAAAAATCCAAGCCTTTTCCCAAGGTGGTTCTAATTCAACTCACTGAACTCTTACAGTTCATTTCTCTGCTATGTGATCATTTAATCACAAGTTGCTTTCTAGTTAGGTTTTGCAGTACTAGGGATAAACTCAAGGCCTCCTTGGCAAGCCCTCTACCACTGAGCTACATCTCCAGCCCTAATCATGAGATTTTTGATTAAAGGATTAAGAAGCAGAGACTGGGAATAAAATACACAAGGAGATGGGAATTTAAAAACCACTTAGGGTTACCAAAATTGTGGCAAAACAACGCTTAGATCCCTTTCAGCTTTGCCTTTATCCTGTAATTGCGAACTCTCATAGAACAATTTTTATTTACTCAGTATCAGAAACTTTTGGTACATTGCTCTTATTCTCAAAGCTATGTGAAAAATGTTAATTCCTCTTTACAAGTAAGGACAAGAATGTTCACTGAAAAGTGACCTATCAACGGTCTAAACACTGGTCAGTAGAACACCAACCAAAAGGCCCACATGTAAATGAAACCAGCCATAAAACTGACATAAATGTGCTGTGCTTACCTAGCTGATTAAACTACCATTACCTCCAGGCACAGTCTGGATGAGGGGCTGGTAATGACATTTGGGAATGACTTTTAAATCTCTTTTCCCTACCATAGGACATACTGGAGGGAGTGTCACAAAGGAAGCATATCAGTGTGCATGAAAGATGATCCATTTCAAAAGCCTTGTAAACTTTTGGCTTCCAACCATTCTCCAGAACAGGCATAAGGAATTTTAAGTGTTAGGAAAGTTCTTATAATAAAGTAGCATAATGTAATCCAGGAGTCAAATAGAACAAGGGCGTGTGTTCCTCTCTAATCCCCTGCTACATAGCCCAGGTTAAGTCATTTAATTTACTAGCTTTCTGACCTATATGGAATAACAACTAGAGTGCTGGCAAAACTGCTGGCAGGATTTACTGAGATAATGCACTTATTAAGCACTCAGTAAATACAACTGTTTGTATTTTTAATAGACTGAGGCTGACAGAACAAGTGTTTGATCAAGGTCACATAGAAAATTAGGAACCAAAGTAAAGAGTCTGAACTTCAAGCCTCTGATTCCAAGGCTACCTCAATTCTCATTACATAGTACTGCCAGAAGCGTGAGTGGCTATTCCAGCTAAGTCTTAGTCCAGATTTGTTTCTAAATTAATTTTGACAATACTATATGTAGTCTTTCTGCTGACAGAGTCAATGCTGCTATTCTGTCACAGAGGAAGGAATCCCAAAAGAGATCATTTAGAACAGTAATGACTCTCCTTCAAAGTAAGATTGCCTTCAGCCTCAGGTCTACATATGGTATATTTTGGAGTCAATGGTCTCATCCTATAGGCCCTTGCGCCTCATCAAGCCTGATATCCTCAAGTTCTTCCCCTTACCTATCCCAATGGTCCTGGTCTAAGAGCAAACAAAGAACAAAGTTCAGGGCTCCTCCCTACCTAAAGAGAGAGGTTTACCCTCTTTTAGAATATATGTTGATATTCAGTGATACTCACTGGGTCATCCTCCTTATTTTTTTTTTTTTTTGGTACCAGGAATCAAACTCAGGACCTTGCCATTCTCCTTTTCATTAAAAGAATAGGCTGAGAAAATAAGACTAAGCAGACCCCAACCAAAAAAAAAAAAAAAAAAGAAGGTGAGAATATATATTTAAGGACCTGGATATGAGCTTAACTCTGGCATTACTATGTCACCAAACTAGATATAGCTCTAAATGGGCTACTATCAACTGAATGAGAGGCAGCTTGGGCAACTCAGTGATACACCAAGAATGCTCTCTTAAAAAACAAAACAAATACAGAATAAGAAGTGATATTAAAAACTAAAATGTATGAAATGTGAGCACCTACTATTCACTCAATGCTAGGTACCCAGATTTGGTTCACTAAATCCTCACAATAATATCCTAAGTCCTGCCATTAATTCAAGGCATCAAAAGGTAAGTAATTCACTCAAGACCACAAAGTCAGGAAAACAGAAAGCCAGGACTTGAACCCAGAGTATCTGCCTGTACAGCAAGGTGTCTCAATTTGGCATTACTGACATTTTGGGTCAGATAAGCTTTGCTGTGAGGGTTATTCTGTGCATTGTAAGATAAAAGTGTCTCTGGCGTGTACCCACTAGAGGTCAGTGGAACCTCCCCACCTGTGACAATGAAAAAACGTTTCCTGTCATTGCTAAATGTCCTCTAAGGGATAAAATTACTCCTGGCTAAGAACTACTGCTTTAAAACATGGCATAGGTCTGAATGCACAATGCACGAACCACCCCTCTTTCCTCTCTCCCAGCCCAAACATTTCATTCACAAAGCCACTGCCTCTCTGAGCTATAATAAACCTTACAGGACTAATATTCCACTCATTCTCACACAGGTCTCTCACATCTGCTATCACAGCTTGGAGGTACAAACACAAGAAAGGGTAGGCAGATGACCTTGACTGGTTCTCTACCTTACCTTTCTAGCTTTGACCATCCTCTTCTTCTCCAAAGCCCAACACATGCAGCAAGCACTGGAAAAAGTAGGATGGTCAAAGTGGAGCAAGTGGCAGCATCACACCTATCTCCGGAAAAAGGATCTTGGTCAGTAAGTAGGAAGACTCTGCCTTCCACAGGGAATGTGTATGACTTTATTCCGTAACCCCTGAACTCTGTGAAACTTCATACACCCGTACACAGTTTCATAGGTTACTTTTAGGGCCTTGGGTCGCCAGAACTCCTCCCGCTTCCCATGCAGAGAGATCAAGAAAATTCCTTTAGAAGCCCAAGAAACCAACCCACAAATCCACCCGAAGTCCTTTAATTCCACAGCCTAGTTAAGGAATCCGTACCCACTATTCAACCTTCTCCAGACCCTGTTCCTACCCTCTTAGAATTCAGAATTTCGACCTTTTGGGCTGGATATTGCAATCTCCCAACGCTCACCGATTATTCATGCATGTGCCCCAAATCCCTCAGACATATTCTTTAATCCCTGTTTCCAAATCTCTGTAGCCTTCAACCCTGCACCCCAGCTCAGGGCCCCAGTCGTACACGGCAGGTTTCTGCAGTCTCAATCTCAGCCCCCAACCCCTGCGTTCTGCCAGGCTCCGGGCCACCCTCAAACCCTACTCCTTCCTCCCTCCAACATCCTGTGTTGCTTTCAAACCTTTGCCAGGTCTCCTCTTTAAGCTAACAGGATACTGCTTTCTATGGATCCCCCCAGATCTTGCTCTGGAAATCCTTTTCTCTTCCCTTTCCCTCCCTCTCCAAATCCCGGTCGCCCCCAGATTTCCTCCCAGCTCCTGAGATTTCTCACTTCAAATCTCATCAAGGCCTCCCAATTTCGTCATCTATCTGAAATTGTGCGCCCAGACCCTTCCAGGCGCCTCAGACTCCCTCCTACCTCCAGAGGCTGCACCCTCCAGCCTCAGGGCCCCTACATTACCTCACAGGTCCCGAGGTGCTGCCACTGAGAGTCTTCGCAGAGCCCCTCGCTCCCCTCCCCCTGCTGCACCTCCTCCGAGCTCCTCAGCCCCACGGAATCCCTCCCCAGCAGCCTGCTCCTCGCAGCCCCACCCCCACCCAGCCCTGCCCCTCAGATCCGATCCTCAGACCCTGCCCTTCAGGCGCGCGCCCCTTCCCCGCCCCGCGGCTCAGCCAACGCCCGCGACCACGGCCGCAGAACCCCGTCCCCGACCCTCCTTCCCGCCCCCTACCTGACCGCCCGTGGCTCCGACACGTCCACCGCAGCCAGCCCACCGCCCGCCGCCCTGTGCGCCTGCGCCGCAGCGCTCCCCCTCTTCGGGAGCCGATTCGTAGAGTCGCCTGTCCGTCACTGCGTCCCGCCCCCTCCCGAGGCATGCCGGGATTTGTAGGCCTGGAGCCCAGCGCTCGGGGCCGGAGGCGTCGGAGGTGCTGGAGTTGGGTGAGCGGCCGACTTTGTCCCTTACTGGAGGCCTTGGCAATGCCTAAAGCAGCCCCGCTTCTCCTTCGTTCGAGGGAAGAAACCGAGGCCCATGGGCATCAGGGCTGTGCCCAAGTTGTCTCAGCGCGCCGGATCTCATGGGTCTGTCTCCGTCTCAAGGTCTTTCCAGACCGCTTCACTAAACCGTGACCCCCAAGTGTGTTCCTCCAGAGAGCCTGGGCCCCTCGCACAAAGCCCTCTCTGAACCTCAGCTTTCCCATTCGAGGGATGGGCCGAGGAAGACAAGCCCAGAGCCTGGACTCTCTTGGAAAGGCGGTGCCTCCGGCCCTGTGCTTCTGCGGGTAGCACGCCCCTTTCCAGAGACCAGGTCTGAGCAGGGACTGCTGCTGTGCAGGAGGCGCTTGTCTACGCAGCTGGAAGGCCGACGGCAGAGGCACACCCGGGGAAACGCTGTAACTCCAGTGCCTGCAGACTGAAGCAGTCCAGGAACCCAAAGCCAAGTCCAGCTGTGGGGAGTGGGGCCCGAGGGGAGCCTTACTTATCGCCTAACTTACCGGGTGGGAGGTGATCCTGCTCTCTGCTTGGCCAGGACCTGCTTTCCCTAAGGTAGTCTGAGGCCAGTCACCAGCTCATATCGTACAGTTTAGGAGCACAAAGGAGTCCGAAGTACTGTAACAGCTGCTTGGTTTGGAAATTTCACATAGCGGTGCAACCCCGCACAATGATTAAACAGAAACAATAATGAAACTAACTCTTGAAGGGCTTTCTGAGTGTACACAACTGTACATTTCACCGGCACAGCTCGTTTAATTGTCGCAGCAACCCTTTAAAATAAGGTGACTGATATCTATGTGGTTAAATACCAAGGTCACTAGTTCCTAAATGTGAGAATCTAGATTTAAACCCAATTCTGAGGGGCAAGGCATGATACCCAATGCCTGTAACCCGAGCTACTCAGGAGGCTGAGGCAAAAAGATCAGAAGTTTGAAGACATTCTGGGCAACTCAGTGAGACCCTCCCTCAAAATAATATTTTAAAAGGGCTGAGAGTGTAGCTCAATGATAGAGCATTTTGGCTAGCATGTGCAAAGAACCGGGGTTCAATCGCCAAGTGCCCCAAAATCAGAAAAAAAAAAAAAAAAACTATGTAAACCCAATTTTGAGAATTGTTTTAGCCTTGTTTTAACTCTAAATGAAAATGGGATTTGGTATGAGGATTAATCAAGATCATGACTGATTTGCACTTAATTTTTGATAACTTAAAAAAAAATTGTAACTAGTTCTTACACATTCTGGGCTGCAGGCTCTATGATTCCCAGCCTCCAGCATTTCAGATACTAGAATGAACAGGAGGTTTGACTGACATATTTCCTAGCCCTTTGAGGGGACCATCCAGGGACTTTGGACTCCTTGATTGGAAGCCTCAGTGATGGACTTGCAATCAGAGCCATCTGGAGCTTCAGCAGATAGATCATGAATAGATTGAATAAAAATTGGACTGAGAAGAGATCCCAGTTGGAGACTAAAAGGCTCAGAGCACATTTTGATTGAAATTGGCAACTGTTGGATACAGAGAACCATGGAAAGACAGAGGAAGGGGTTTCTGCTGTCCCGACTTTCTTGTGCTTCTGGTAACTGGTGTGTTCACTGCATGAGGACTTGCAGTTTGATGGTTTCTCACAAAGCACATACTAGTTGCGCGTTAATTATCCATCACCTATCATTTTCACCAGTGGGATGTGAATTCTCTGGAGGAGACTGCCTATTTGAGGTCACTTCTGTTAGCCTAATGCTCAACTCAGCATGTAAGTAAGATTTGCTGAGCAAATGAGTCAGATGGAAATGTGACCTGAGGCAAGTCACATTTCCTGTTTTACCTGGAGTTATTCTAGCAGCAGAATAACTCAGCGGGATCGCTCAGGTAAGAGTTGGCCATTTATTGATCATCATTAATATGTCAGATACTTCACAGATGCTCACATCACAGTCTCCTTAATTCCTTAAGTAGAGAACAGTAGCTCCATGTTGCAAAAGAGGTAACAGGAAGATTAAATAACTTGCTTAAAGCCAAAATCTAGGAAGTGGTAGAGCTAGAGTACAAACCCGGGCCCACTGGCCCATGACACACTCTGAACCACCAGCCCAGAGCTACCAGTATTTAAGGGCACAAGCTGTCCTTCTGTTTTATTGCTTAAGATTTATAAGATTCAAAAGAGTGTTGGTAATACTTAGGAAATCAGGAAAAGCCTTGCACATTTTGGCTATCTTTATGATCACATGGTATAATTCTCTCAAGGCAATGATTCTCTCAAACTGCTCTGAGCAATGTTACCAGAAGAGTGTGAAATGTTCTGTTCTCTGGATTTCTACCATGTTGGAGGTTCAATCTGATCTATTCTACTAGGAAGGCAGGACCTCTGGATAGGGGTCTGGGACCAGCTATTCTATTACAGCTCAGAGGTATGAGAGAATTGCTCTCAAATGGTTTCTCCCTGAAAACCACAGTTAATAGCCCAAAGATCCAATTCAGAACTGTACACACACACACACACACACACACACACACACACAGTATATATTGATGTTTTCCCAAGTACAGAGAAGAATTAATAGTACTCCTGAAAGTCTGAGGCTCAAACTCAAGTTTGCCTTTAAATAATCCTCTTCTCTCTTAAAAAATAATGAGTGTTTATTTGACTGTCTTTTTCAACGTTTAAATTACTTAGCGATTGAATTAATTACCACACCTCCCATAAAAATTGCAGAGCAAAATAAGCACTCTGGAGATCCGTACTCATTTTTATACTGTAGCTTTTCATACAATGGCACACTATTAGCATTCCTGTTAAACATTTTAAAAATACTCTTTGTGGAATCTTTACTCTTTATTCAGCATTTTAATATAATGGTTTTTCATTTAACATTTAAACCACCTGTATCAGTTTCTTAGGGTAGAGTAACAAATTGCCACAAATTAGGTGGCTTAAAACAGGTCAAATTTATTCTCACAGTTCTGGAGGCTAGAAGTCTGAATTTATGGTGTAGGCAAGGCCATGCTCACGCCAAAACCTTGCTTATTCTAGCTTCTGGTGGCCTTCGGCATTCGTTGGTATGTGAACACCATTCACACTAGAGTGAGGGACTGGCCCACTGCAGTGTGAAGTCACCTTGCCTGATTACATCTATGACATTCTTAATTCCAAATAAAATCAAATTCTGATATCATGGGAGTTAGGTCTTCAGCACATCCTTTTGGAGATGCAGTTGGCTAAAGACTGTCTCTTTCATTTCTAAAAAAATGGTTTTCTTTCACTTTAAAATCGGGCTGTCTGACTCACAGTATTGTTAGGAACAAAATGAGATATTAGATATAAAATGCTTAGTATTTTGCCTGACATGTACTTTTAATATTTATTATTTTGCATTTCTTATTGTTAAAATAAGTATGTTTCCTAAGTACACCATTGTGTAGGAAGAGAGAAAGCTTTGTAATCAGATAACAAGTCCAACTTCAGCCTCCTGGATGGTATTTTGGGATGGATAAGAAGATGATTTGAAGTAATAACTTGTTGCAACAGATAAAGCATTGCAACCTTGGGCCATTTAGCATCTTTGTACTTCGTTTTTTTCCTCCACAAAATGGGGATAACAGTAGTTATCTATCGCTTAGAAATATGAATATTAGATGACTCAATAGATCTAAAAGGTTTAGAGTCCTACTTGGTAAAGAATAAGTGCTCCGTAAATATTAACTATATTGTCATTAATAGTATTGTTACTAATATCATCATTATTTTCAACAAAGAAAGACTCCTTTTCATCTCTCATTAGCAACTTAATTATGTGGGGAAGAGGAATGTTTTGCTCACAGAACAGAGGGGAGAAAATGTTAGAAATTTAAACTCTCATACATTCTAACCAGATTTGTCTGAATCTAGAGGTTTTCAACTAGTAAAATTTTCATGAAATAATGTGAAGTTATATAGATATTCCTCATTTAACTACTTACCTACTTAATGGCTGGACTTATGACCCACCAAGGTTTGGACTTACCACCTGCTGCTTGGATTTATGACTCACAGTTGGACGTAGGGTTATGAGTCAGGAATATAAGTGGCAGTGCAGCCTTATGGTGGCCTCTTCTACAGTACAGTACTATATAGTACAGTACTATAATTTTGGCTGATGGTACTATACAGTACTATAGTTTTATGAATATTACAGTACTGCATATAAGAGTTACACAAATAAAAGCAAAGTCATCAAGTTAGAGCTTCCTTTGACCATTTCTTTTTTCTGAATATTGTAATGTACATAGTATATCTACAATTCCTCATTTAGCACCCAATTCATTGAACAACCTAGCTGCAGAAGTGGAACTCGGTGGTTAAAGGAGGAATGTCTACATCTGTGTATCTGCATTGCTAATCTGTCTGTGCATAACAAGTAACTCTCAAAACTTTGTCACTTAAAACAACACATACTTAATATCTCATGGTTCTGTGACTCAGGAATCCTTGCACAATTTAGGTGGGTTCTCTGCTTCTCAGTGTCTTACAAGGCTGCAATCAAGTTATTCACTAAGACTGAAGTCTCAGCTGGAGGCTTGACTGGGAAGTATCATTTCTAAGATCACAAATGTAGGTGACTAGATTCAGCTAGGACTGAAGGTCTCCTTTTCTTGCTGGCTTTAGTCTCATGTCTGCTCTCAGTTCTTTGCCAAGTGAGCCATTCTATTATTAATTTCATTTCATCAAAGCCCACAGAAAGGAGTCAGCTAACAAGAAAGAAGTCACACATTCTTTTGTAACTAATCACGCAAGTGGCATCTTCTCCATATTGTCGTATCCTATCGGTTACAAGCAA